GTCACGGGGGGCAGCCCCACGGTGTGGCCACGGCCCGGGGAGCGGGGCCAGCCGGAGAACAGCACCGAGTGCCGGAGCGGTTACGTGCGGCACAACAGCTCCTGCCGCTCTGTCTGCGACCTCGTCCCCAGCTACTGTCACAATGGCGGCCCGGGCTACCCGGTGGAGAGCCATGGAGCCTTCTGCCGGTAAGGGACAGGGATTCTGGATGTGTGTGTGGGCTCTCCGTACCTCCGTACACTCCATTCCTGGGCTCTCCATCCCGATACATCTCATCCCTGGGTTCTCCAACTCTGTGGTCTCCATCCCTGAGTTCTCTTTCCCCCATGCACCCCATCCTCAGTCTCTCCACCCATCAGTGCAGCCCATCCCTGGGCTGTCCCATCCCCTGTATCCTACCCTTGGCTTTCCAGCCCCCTGCACCCCATCCTTGCCTCTCCATCCCTCTGCATCCCATGCTTGGCTCTCCATTCCTGTATATCCCATGCCTGGGCTCTCTATCCGCCAGGCACTCCATTTTCAGTCTCTCCATTCACCAGTGCAGCTCATCCCTGTCCCCTGTACACTATCCTTGGCTCTCCATCCCTCCTGCACCCCACCCGTGGCCTTTCCACTCCCCATACCTCACTCCCGGGCTCTCCATCTCACTGCACCCCATCCCTTGGCTTTCCATCCCCATACATCCCATCCCTTGGCTTTTCAACTCCATGCATCCCACCCCTGAGCTCTCAATCCCCCATGCACCTGATCTGTAGCCTTTTAATCCCCCTGCACTCTGCCCTTGGCCTCTCCATCCCCATACATCCCATCCCTTGGACGTATGCACCCCATTCCCAGTCTTTCCATCTCCCTCTACCCTATTCCTAGGCTTTGTCCCTCTATACCCCATCCAGGTCCCTCTGCCCCTGCAGCCCCATCCCCCCAGGACACAGAGGGGCTATCGCTGCCTCCTGAGTGGCGGCTGGGCAGGAATTAGGTCAGGGCCATGCAGGCTCTGGGGCTGCCGCGCTAATCGTCCCCGGCAGATTGCACCCGGGGAGGGCCGATGCTGCTGTGCCACACAGCTCAGCACGTGTTGTGTGGCTGGCGCTGAGCCCGCCTGCATGGGGGGACACGGGTGTCCCCGGTTGCTCCCACTGGACAGTTGCCAGGGCTGTGTGGGGCTGGGAAACACGGGTGTGGGGGACAAGCATCGCCCCATGTGGACCCTGATGAGTCACACTCCTCAGGGACCTGTTAATCTCATCCCCCATCAGACACCCATAATCTCCCTGGTGCTGGTGTCCCCCACCATTTTGGACCCACACTTTGAGGTGGGGGTCCCCCTAACCTCCTCCCCTTGCAGGTGCAACACGCAGGACTACACGTGGCACAAGGGCACGCGTTGCGAGGCCATTGTCACTGACTTCCAAGTGATGTGTGTGGCCGTGGGCTCAGCTGCCCTTGTGGTGCTGCTGCTCTTCATGCTCACCGTCTTCTTCGCCAAGAAGCTCTACCTGCTCAAGACGGAGAACAGCAAACTGCGCAAGACCAAGTGAGTGCCAAAGGGACAGACACCATTAAAACTGTCCCAAACCAGTCCGAGGTGGCACCCTGATAGCTGCAACGGTTTCAGTGGGCTCAGCATCCTGGCTGGATGCAATTCCATCCCAATGTGGTGTCTGTGGGACCCCCTGTGCTGATGGGGACAAGGTGATGGTGGGTGGGGAAGCTGCCCTGTGGGGACATGGCTTGTGGCTCCTGCTCCACAGTTAATCCTTTAAAGCTGCTCCTGACTGGCACCAGTTAATCTGCTTCACTGGGAGTTGGGGCCACCACCTGGGCTCGCCACACTGCCCAGGGGCCACTGGAGATGGTCCCCATTGCGTCCCTGGGGACAGGGCTGGCGGGTGGGTGCAAGGCTGGCATGGGTGGAGGTTGAGGTCACTCTCCACCCCACCAATTGCTGCCCACCTCCCTGGAGCCAGGGAGGAGAAGGCCCTTCCCCGCCCAGGTCCCTAATGAGCTGTTAATTAGTGTTTGGAAGAGCCAAGTGTAATTAGCAGCAAAGCTCTCTGCCAGCCCATGGGTCTCCCTCTCAGGCCCTGGGACCATGTGGCTCCTGACTATCCAGGGCTGCCCTCACTGCTCCCCTGCCTGCACCTTCCCAGAACTGGTGTTATTTAAACCGAAATCCCCCAGATCTGGGGGCATTTAGCCATCCCAAGCCCCCAGATCTGGAGCTTTTAACCCCAAACCTCTATGCCTGGGGACATTTAGCCCCCAGACTTCCAGCTCTGGAAGCATTTATCCCCTTCAACACCATGTTCACCCCAAAACACAGGGGCATGGGGGGTGCCTGGCGGTATCCCCAGTCTCACCGCCGTGCTCTCCTCTCCCCCCGGCAGATACCGCACCCCGTCTGAGCTGCACAATGACAACTTCTCCCTCTCCACCATCGCCGAGGGCTCCCACCCAAACGTAAGGAGGTTTCTTGGCACCATCCCCTCCTCCCACTTGCTGTCCTACCCTTGTCCATCTGTCCAGTAATGTCTTGTGTGTCCCCACCATCCATGGTCCTGGCACTGCCTGGGTGACGACATCACCACTGGATCCCTCTGCACCCTCCTGTCCCCATCCCGCCATGGCCACCGCTCTATGCCCTCACTTTCAGGTCCCGCTGTGCTGCATCCTGCCCCAAATACCCAAACTGGCCCCGAGCCAGGCCAGGGCTTGGTCTCACCCCACTGTCCCCTGCCCTGTCCCCTTCCCCACCAAGTTCCTGGTGGCTTTGGCTCTGTGTGTGGGGTGGCTGTGCCAGTGTTTTCAGGGAGGGGACAGGCAGTGCGGTGTGGCTCCAGCAGACCATGCTCCCTGGCTGTGGCATCCCTGGGGCAGGACTGGTGGATGACAGCCAGCAGCGGTGGGTGATGCTGGAGGATGAAACACTCTGGGATGCTGCTGGCCTAGTCAGGATGGGTCTGCCGGCGTCCCCCCAGGGCTGTCCTTCCAACCTCCTGTCTTTCGAATCAAAACAGAGAGAAGCGAAGGGCTTTGCCGAGCGGGAGCCGGAGGAGGAGCGTAGGTCCCTCTAGCCTTTGCCTTAGCCCACCCACCACAAGTTCTACCTGTCTTTCAACCACCTTTATCAGCCATAGCGTCTGCCACTGACCATCCTGGCAGGAGGCTCCTGGAGCTGGCTCACTCCCTGCTGCAGAGAGGATGAACGTTGGGATGAATTCAGTACCACACCACAGCATCTCACTGGGCTCTGACCCATCCCTTGTCCCCTCCAGGATGTGGAGGGCTTGGTCCTACAGTGGCACAAGTACCTGGGATGCAGCACACTGAGGGTGTGGAGGGGGCAGTGGGGTCAACACCCTGGGAAAGAGGTCTCTGGGGACACACAGTGCAGCCCCTCCACTGGGCAATGGAGCTTAGTGCTAATCCCATTGGATTTGCCATGGAGCCATTGGCACAAGCCTCAGACTGACTGGGCACCTTTTACAGCACCACTGCCCAGAAGAAGGAGGTTTCCCATACTCATATGACCATGGCTGCATGACACCAGCCCTTGGGTGTCTCTATCTACCTGCCACTTGCTGGGCAGCACTGGGAGCACCATAACCACTACAATGCTGGCAGGTGTCTCACCACTGTGGCCCATCCTGTCCCCACAGCCCCCAAATGCCATGGCTCATCCCACCCCCCCAGCACCGATGGTGATGCCGGGACTATCTGGGCACAGATGTTACCCAACGCAGCTGGAGCTTGGCCCCGGTGCCAGCAGGGGGGCTCTCCCCATGGATGTAGGACAAACTGTGGGCATAGCCCAGCCATGGGGGAAAGCTGCTTCTGGCAGCTGTGGGGGGACATTGGGAAGAAGCGTCCATCGGGAAGAGGTGTTTCTGGCCAATGGCATGGTGGGGCCAGCTGTACATTAACTGCAATAAATCCAACCCCTTGGACCTCCTGCCAAGTGCTGCTTGCTTGGGAAGTTGCTATTTTGGGGATGATGAGATGAGCCAGGCTGGAAATGGGAAGAGAAATTGGGTGGTGGGGATGGCTGGAAAGATGGCGGGTGGAATGGCTCTTGTGGCCAGCACGGCTCTTGAGCGGCTTGGGGTGCTGGAGGCACCTCATGGTGTGGAATCTGTGGTGGGGACCAACATTGAGTCACCGGTGTTTGAGGCCAGGTTGGGCGGGGCTTGGAGCAAGCTGGTCTCGTGGAAGGTGTCTCTGCCTGTGGCAGGGGACTTGGAACTGGATGAGCTTCAAGGTCCCTTCCGACCCAAACAAGTCTGGGGTTCTATGAGTCTGTGACCCTCTCCCTTCATGCTCCCCATGTGCCGAGATACATATTGCATGGGGGGACATTTTGACTCACCTTTGGGCAGCCCTGCCTGCTGCTGGGGGCTGCCTACAAGGAAGCAAAGCCCCGTCTGGGATGCTGACTGGGACATCAGTGCCTTCACCCAGTTCCCATTGCTGGTTGTCCTCCATTGCAACAGATGATCATGACATCCCCCATGTCATGATTATCTCCTGACCCCCCCATCTCTCCTGGCAGGATGATCCCAGTGCTCCCCACAAGCTGCAGGACTCCCTGAAGTCCTGCCTGAAGGACGAGGAGCCATTTAACATCAAAAAAAGGACCCATTAAACATCCACATCTCAACGTCGCCCAAGCACGACGGCAGCAGCGGCAAAGGGGAGCAGGACAGCAGCGAGCTCAACTGTCTGCAGAACAACTTGACGTGAGCAGGGCAGGAGAAGGAGAAGGCAAGAGCGGGAGCCAGCCCTCCCGTCCCCTGCTGTACACATCTCCTGTCTCCTCCCCATCTGGTATCTCCTTTTCCCGCTCCGTGGCATGCTTTGATGTGTTTTGTACAGAGGAAAACAAAAATTAATTAATAATAATAATAATAACAAAGCCAAAGGCTGCACATGGCCCTTGGCCGCGTCGTGGGGGTGTTTGGTTTGTGCTCCGTGTATCTCGCTTGGGTTAGTTCAGCGCTGTGATTTCTAAACCTTTGCTGTCCTGCAACTGACTTTTTTTGTACTTTGCCCCACTTTTTTTGAAATACAAGTAAAAACAACAACAAAAAAAAAAAAGGGAAGGAAGATCTTGAAATAAATAATTTTTTTTTTTAAAGTTAAGCCTCTTGCTGTTGCCTGCGACCTCCTGACACAGACACAGCACTTCCTCGCTCCCTGCTTCCCCAGGGTCCTACCTAAGGTTACCCAAGGAGAATGGTGGGTGCCTGGTCCCCCCTCCTTGACCTTCCCGGCTTTGCCAGGCTAGGGGTGCAACGTATCCTACTGGAGCAGGATCCATGTGGGTTGCTGTCATTGCAGACATGCCTGGGGACCCCCTGGGATGTTCAATGGAGGTGCCTGGGCTGCTCCCTGCTCACAGGGGCTGCTCCATCCCTGTCTCCATCATGGGATGGGTGCACACAAGGTGAAGCTGTCACTGGCACCATCCTTACAGTCACCTCCTTTCAATGGAGCAGCTCAGGATGTCAGTAGGATTTTGGGCTCTTTAGCCAAAACACCCCAAGGTTGTCACCTCCCCAGCTCCTTGTTCCCATCTGCTTGGAGAAGAAACTGGTGCTGTCCTGGCAGCTTTGACAACATCAGCCTGGCTTCTGTTGGATTAAATGAGAAGCAGCCGCCCCACCACAGTTGCCTTCATCCTGCCCTGGGACCGAGCATGGAGGGGGGTCTCTGCCCAGGGCACCCCAGCACTCCCACTGCCTCCCCTCTGGCCGTGGCACTGTCTCACTTCCCACAGGAGCTGATTTCTTCTGGAGACAGATTCAACCATGAGCCAAAACCCACAGCTCTTTGGGAGAGAGGAAATGAAGCAATTAATCAACATACAATATTAAGCGTGCCACACGTTAGGGATGCAGCCAATGATCTCCCTGGGGCAGGTAGGAGCTAAAGCCGCAGCTCAGTGTGTTTTAGATGCTTTCCGTGGGCTGCTAAATGATTAATTCTCAGCTCACTCAGGGAGATTAAAAACTGAGGGGTGGCGGTGGGAGCCAGCAGATGATCCTGGGGTCATGCAAAGTCGAGTAAGCGGCTGACCAGCACTGTTGGGGCTTTGGATTTTGCCATTTTCCTTCCAGCATGGAGCTGTGCAGCAGGTAAATCCATGGATAAAGCACCTGGGCAGCACAGACACAGCAGCAAAAGATGGCTGGAGCCAAGCCTGAGTAGAGCGCGATGCACTGGAGAGCAGGAGTCCTGCTGAGTGGAGGGGAGATGCTGATGCCCAAGAAAGCCTCATGGAAAAGCAGGCAGTCCTGGCATGGGCAGAGGCTAAGCTTCCCTGTGGGACTGGGCAGGATGGGAAGGGAGCCGGAGTGGGATAAGGATTGCTGTGATGGGAGGGAGAGGACCCACGCTTGTGTATGAAGAGTGAGGGGAGAAGAAATGGTTACGGACATGTGTAAGGAAGGGGAGGACATGGGGGAGGACATGTGTAAGGACATGTTGGAGGGGATTGGGAACGACATGGAGTTGTGGGTGAGAAATATCTGTGGGGAAGAGGAGGGAAGGGGCACTGTGGGTATGGGGGAGGCCACCTTGCTTCTCCAGCTGCCCTTGGAGGGAATTGGTGGGACCAAACGCAGGGAAACAGCAGCCACGGAGTGAGACCAACTGGCAAATGTGTGGCTGCATGGTGGGCTCTGTAAACCATCTCCTCCTCACTGGGATCCTTCTTGGCGGTGCCTGTGGGTCCATCAGGATGCTGCCTGAGGAGAGAAGAAAATCTCCTTTGCAGGGAAGAAGCAGCCAGCATAATGCTGGTCTCTTGATCAGAGAAACCCTCATCCCTGTTTTGCTGGCAGCAGCAGGCAGGTCTCCAGCCTGGAGATGGGTTCACCCCTTTGGATGATTTGGAGGGACAGAAGAGCCATCCCTGCCATGCTCTTTCTTCTGCTTGGAGGCGAGGCACAGCTGATCCATCCCAGCACAGCCCATCCATCCGGGATCTGCCCTGGTTTGGCACAGAGGTGTCCACCTTGGGAGCTTCCCAGGTGAGCAAAGTGGCAACTGGGGTTGCCCATCCTTGGCCACTGATTTTTCCTCCTTTCAGACGAGCCCAGCACATGGCTGAGGTGTGGTGGGCAGTGGGGGACAGCTTCTCCACAAAGCCGTGGTGGTAACTCCTCAGTGTTAACCCCTTGTTTAAGAGCAGTGAGAGGTGGAACCAAGGAATCCAGGAGATGAGTGTTATCCTCGTCACTCTCATCTGCAGCTACTCACGCATGCAGGCTGCAGGGACTGATGCGGATTGAGGGTAAAATTGTGTCACAAGGATTTAAGCAGGTCTATGGATGCTCCTGGTCAAAACACACACATTAAGAGAGCTGAGGGCGTTTGTCCCACCTTTCCCCCTGCTCCAGGGTATCAGTCTGACCCCTGTAATTCCCCTCCTTGTTGTGCCCCCTGCTTTGGACCCTACTCACCTACCTGGTGCGCTCCTGCTTCCCGCATGAAGACACAGCTTCTGTCCCCCATCTCACTCCAGATGGCTACGAGCCCTGGATCCCCATCTCACCCTGGGGCCAGTGTTCCTCGTTGTGCCTCCGTTTCCCCCCTGGGTGACAGCATGTCCCCAGCCCTCAGACTCTCCTCCTGCACCAGCTTTGCCAGAGCACTGAGGGAAGGAGGAGCATGGTTTGCACACAAGGGTGCATTGGGGCTACCCGAGGGGACAGGCTCCCTGTCAGCACGTCATCTGACACAGGGAGAGCAGAGGGGACAGCAAAGAGCATCCTTTGTGTGCCATGTGCTGGTCACCAGAGCTGATTTCATGGGCCCTGTGGAGGAATTTGCTTCCCAGCCAGCAAAGCAACACATGGCATTTTTATCAAAGGCCTAACCACTGTGAAACGGTGAGGTTGAGGACAGCTATTAAATTTAAATGCTTGGTTAGTTTGCAGGGAGGGGAGGCAGCCTTTTGTGGCTGGGCAAGGGCTGGCACGGGACATGCGGTGCGAAGGGACAGGAATTGGCGGTGGCACCGGGTCTGTCCTCCTCACTCTGTCATCCTCTTTTCTCTTGCAGACACATAACAGGATTAGAGCTGTGACCCCGAGACAAGGAGCCTTTCTTCCTCTTGACGAGCTCCGGCTGCCTGAAACAAAATAGCTGGAGTCCCAATTCAACGACCGAGCCCTGTCTGGGAGAGAGAAGGAGGGAGAAGGGGTCGGAGCGGCAGCTCTGTGGTCCTGGCAGGCTGTGCGCACCCTGAGCGTGCTCAACACCCCTGGTGCAGAATGCTGCTGCTTTGGGACCCATCCTTCCCATCCCTAAACCTGTGGGTTTGGCTGTCCTTCCCTGAGCTGCTGGGAGCTTTCCTTGGGAGTGGTGGCTGGGGGTTTGTCCAATACCTGGAGCTGGTGAGGTGGGATCTCTGTGCCTGTGTCCTCTCCAGCACAATCTCTTTGTTGGCTTGGGCTTATACACACCGAGCAGCTGGGCTGTCTCCTGGCTTGTAGGAGCCTTTACCTGGTGTTTGCATAGCTAGAAAGCATCATATGTATTTTGTTACGGGAAATAGCAATTACTCCATTATTCTCATTCTCACTGTAACAGGGAGAGAATCCAGTATTAAACTGACCCTGCGTTGGATTTAAAGAGAGGAGAAGAGCAAAATCCTCTTAGCTTCATAAACTGTAAAATGCTCAGTGTGGGAAAGAACAGCTGGGCATGTGTTTGCTGACACTGAGGAAGCTCTGGGGATGGCTTCAGCCATGGCAGCCCTTGTTTGTCACTGCTTTATGCCACGCTGGCTAGCACAGACATTGGGTTAACTGGTTCTGCTGGGAGAGGAAGAGAACAGGTCACAGGCATCAATTGGAGACTGAATTAAAATGTAAAGGCAGGAGGCAAATTGGCCAAGATTGAGTGTGGGCTGACCAAGCTCACGACCCTCATGAAGGGATATGGAAGAAAAGGGAAATGAAGAGAAAGGACCCTGAGGCACTTGGAGAACGGGTAAGTAAGATCTCAAGGGAGGCACATTTAGAGGTGAAAGGAGTTGAGGAAACTGGCGGTTCTTCAAAGAAATGGTGCAAGCAACACACTTAAAGCCAATCCAGTAGGAAATATAGCAGCAACCAGCTTGGCTCCATCGCAAGCTCTTCACTGACCTCAGGCTCAAGAGAAAAAAAACATTTACAGAAAGTGGGAACTAGGTCAAATTACTAAGGACAGTTGTAAGAGTAGCATAAGCATGTGGGGAAACATCAGAAAGACCAAAGCACAAATTGAGATGGAAATAGTGAGCATCATTAAGAGGAAGAAGAAAAGACTACAGGAGGAGAATGAGCAAGGGGGTGTTGGTCCAGACCCTGAGAAGAAGGATGGCTGCTTACAGAGGAGGCTGAGAACTCAAGGGTTTCACTGTTTATTTTTTTTCTGAAACCAGTCTTGAAAAATGTCAGCTGCAAGCAGCTGCCTACCACAATGAGTAAGATTCTGTGCTCTCCACTGAGAGAGTGTTAACTGCAACAAATAACGTCCCCATATTGGTTAGGCATTTGCTGAATCTCATCCTATGGTACTTAGAAAATCAGTTAAAGCCACCTCAGGCCAATGAGGTAGCACAAGGGATGGATAAGGTTTTACAAGCCCAGCTCCAGTTTGGGGCACGCCACTTCAGGAAAGATGCAGCCCATGGGAGAAGGTGCAGGGGAAGCAAGAAGAAAGACAAGAGATCAAGAAAAGACAGCCTCTGC